GAAGACAATTGTCTTATGATATGTCTGTTTATGTCTTTGCTATGCGAGCAGTGAATCAAATGCAACGAATGGTGAACCAAATCGGCACATCTCAAGACTCTGATAATCTTAGATCCAATTTGTGAGTGTTTTTCACTGTCTTATTAACCATTCATTTGGTATGAGTTTCGGTGATGTTTGAGATCTAGTTGTTTGTGTGGTTTTGTTAAACATATGTTTATTTTACGCGAAACTGATTAGTGTTTTGTTATGATCTCTACTAATGATTGTGTGATTACTCCAGACATGAGGTCCAGCACTACACCAACCAATTGGCGAAAGACACGAACAATAACCTCAAAGAGTTGGCACAACTGCCACAACCAACTAATGTCTCGGAACAGGTATTTTGAATCACAAGCCCTTGTCTTACAAGTGATTGAATTAATGGTTGTGTCTGTGGTTTGGATGCTATGATCACCAGAAACAGAGACGAATGCTGAGGGAGAGACTCACGAATGACTTCTCGGAAGCGCTGAAGAACTTTCAGGTCATTCAACGGACGGCCGCTTCCAAGGAGAAGGAGAGTGTGATCAGAGCCCGGGCTAACTCTGGACTCAATTCTGTGAGTGTTTGCTACGACAGCACCGGTACTTGTTTTGCTAATTACATCCCTGTGTTGTCACCCAATTGTAGAATAATGTTTGGGATGACCACTCATCCAGAGGACCATCCAATCTGATTGATTTACAGAGGTTTGTGTTCATTATTATGCATTCATTTGCAATAGTATTGAAATAAGCACTCAAACTCTAAGTCTACGTTAAATATGCGTTAAACGGTTGTTATCTACTAATTGTCATAAAGTTATATAATTTAATTAGCTTTTCATACGATATCAGTTGAAATGATATAGAAAACAGATTTATTTGAATAATAGCTGTTATATAGCAATAGATAATGAATTGGTGAGAAGATTGATGTTTAAGACTAATGATAATTGGTTTGCCATTTAGTCCGCAATCGCAGACACAGATTCAGATGGAAGAGGAGTGCGATTTAGAGCTGTTGCGGGACAGGGAACAGGCGATCCGCAAGATTGAGTCGGATATCGTGGAAGTGAATCAGATATTCAAAGACTTGGCGACAATGGTTCACGAACAGGGAGAGGTGATCGACAGCATCGAGGCCAACGTGGAGACCGCGTCCATACAGGTGCACGAGGGGACGGCACAACTGTCCAAAGCACGTGATTATCAGGTCTGACCACGAGTTTTGCACGTATTTTATCGATTTGTTTGCAACTCTAGTATTTGCTACAGTTTTATATCGATTGCATGATTGTGTAGTGATTTTTAATTTGGTTTTTATTTTTTTTTCTCTATTTCTTGTATCCGTTGGGGTATTATTTGGTTATAATTTGAATGCGACTTTAGAGCCGAGCGCGACGTAAAAAGCTTTGTCTCATTATATTACTTGTCATTATTCTTGCAATAATTGTGGCCGTCGTGTGGATCGAAACATCCAGTAATGAAATGCCTTTTTTTTGCTCTTTACCTCCCTTTCCATTTGATACCTTTTTACTCCCTTTCCTGTGATATCCCTTTTGTTGATAGGATTTTGTTGTCTTTTCCATTGATTTTCAATTTCTTTGGCTAACATTTGATTATTTGTATGATTTAATGATTAATTTGATATTTTTATCTCATTTTTTTGTGACAAACTTTTTTGTCTGTAGAGTAAAGCGCGTCGAAAGACCTGTTTGTTAAGCATTATCTTCTCGTCAGTGGTTCTCCTAATTCTAATTATATTATGGTTTTCGCGATAATACTATACAATTAAAAACCCGACATTCCTTTGCTTCAAAGAAGTCGACAATCGGTTTCAACCACCGCTCAGTTATTACTCGCATATTCTTGCTGTTGTTTTTTGTTTATTGTCTGTCTTTCCCCCCAATAAACAAATTTTTATTAAACTTTCGGTTTAAGGAATTTGTTTTAAAACTTTGATTTTTCGGTTACAAAATGATAGTAATATGTATTTATTTAGTAGTATTCAAAACTGACAACAAAACCATTGTATGAATTCAAAGTCAAACCTATTGTGAGCACTAAATATAGTTTTTCCTGTTTTTTACATTTTTCATTTGTAGTTAATTTTTTATAGCAATTGTTTGGCTTTTTTTGTTTATTTTATTGCGAAATATAACACATATTTTATAGACAACTAATTACTGTGAAAATACAAACTATTTATTGTATAAAAAAGATTATAATTATTAATTTTATTTACTATTAATCGCTATATTAAGTAAAGGATTTATTTATGTTTAGAGTATAAGGCTATGAGTTTTTAGTTAGCTATGCGATGATTTGATTATTTTTATTATTTATCATTCAGTTAATTAGTATTAGAAATATTTTTCAAACTCAAAACTTTGTAAAACCTTATAAAATTGATTTTAATAATTAATATAATTATGGTATAGAGAAAACAAATTGTATATTAAGAGGTGATTAACCGTTTTTTATTTCACTGTAATTGTGTATTAATTTTCTCTGTATTTTTTAATTAAGTTAATTTAATTGAAATACTGTTTTTTCATATGAAAAATAAAAGTTAGCTTTAATTTGATTAAACTTTTCAAATGGTTTTCACGCATTCAAGTCGTGTGTGTGTTTCAATGGGTAGGGTATCGGGCATTCAATTTGTGTCGGACAGTCATCAGCCGGGAAGTCGTCAGTCTATAAAAATTAATGAAATAAATGCTAATCAAACAAATTAATTGACAAATAAACTTTTATCTTTAATTTAAAAATATGCCTTCACTTAAAACTTATTGATTAAATGTAACAAATATGAGATCCCAAACCAATGCTACCATACGTTCCTGTTTTGTCGGTAAGTAATGCCTGTCCACTGATAATAACCATTCAAGTCGTATATCACAACCGATTCCACTGTTTTCTGCCATTCAATGCATTCCATGGTTTGTGTCATTGGGTGAGAGGAAAGGCGTCTGAAAAGTAAAAGAAAACAAAATTAATTGACAAACAAAGGCATACAATGAGTTGAGAGTTGGGTTGAGGACCAGCCGTCCGACCAGTACTGTCAGTGCTGACCACCAAATGCTATGCGAGAAGTCGTCGCCACAAGTGATGTGAGGGGGAAGTCGTATGAAAGGCAGGCGTTGACTGAGAGCCCAGTGATGGTGGACAGGGAGCTACCGGTCTGTTGTGTGGCTACCACGAGGACATGCGA